TGGTGGCGAGCGGAGGGGTCCCCGGGGCCACCCCCCCCTCCCCGGGGGGGGGCTGGTGGGAGGGAGCAGGGAAGGGGCTCATCGCGTTAATCAGGGCCCGGCTAATGACTGAGAGCGTTTTTCTCCCAAAAGTCATCACTGCCGGGGGCGCGGGGCTGCCCCTCCCCATCCCGCAACACGGAATTCTTCCAAAACCCCCCCAAAATCTCCCGTTTTATCCAGACACACCCGCACCCCCCAGCTCCCAGGGGACCAAGAACCACCTTGGACACCGGGGAGAGGGCTCTCCCCAAAAGCGCTGTCCCGGGGTGGAGCCACAACGGGACCCGCCTGAGACTTGGGCTTCAGAGCCCGTGGAAGATGAAGAAAAATCTCATTTTGGGGTCAAAATTGCTGCTTTCAGGGTTGGTGCCGAGCAGCCACGGCAGGTACTCACAGAGGAGCAGTTTTGGGCTGCAGGCTGGTGGAAAAACCAGGAGTTTCTGATCCATCTTTTTTCTCCCCATTTTGTGGCAGGGCAGTGGTTTTTCTCCATGAGGTGGGACCAAGGAGAAGGAGATGCTCAGCCCCTCGGAACCAGGGAGGGGGGGCTTGAAAACCCACCCAAAAACAGGGAGAAGGAGATGCTCAGACCTTCAGAACCGGGGAGGGGAGGCTCAAAAACCCACCCAAAAACCCACCCGTCCCCAGGTCCTGGGGGTCAGGAGCCCCCGTTCTGATGCTGCAGGGACAGACCTGTCCCAAAACACTCAAAAACCCACATGGGAGGTGGTTTTTTTTTTTGAAGGGCTGGTCAAAAAGGTCTCCTCTTCGCACACCCTCTTCACAAGCAGCTTTAGAGGCTGAGTCCTGCCCCCAAAAAATATCCCTTTGGCCATTAAAAAATAGTCCATGGACCCCGAGCAGCATGAAACCCACCTGTGCTTTAACTCCAGCCTTTTGAAGTTGAAGGTTTAACAAGAAGCCCCATCATCTGAGCTTTTTGGGCCCTCAGGTGGAGGGCAGGAACACCTCAGAAAAAATCCTAATTTTCTGTGGGTGGTTTGGGTGACCAACGTGCAAATTAAAAATCTCCCTGAGGTGGCATCACCATCACCAGCTCCTGCTTTTGGTCTCCTCAGCCTCCAGGTCTGGGGTTGGGTCTCCTGCTGGAGTTCTGCCCATTTTCCCCCAGGGGATGTAGGACTCGTGGCCATCTCCAGCTAATTTTGGGGCAAATTGAGGGGGAATTCGGTGGTGGGAGCGGAGCTGAAGCCCCCTGTGCGGTGGCCACCGCACAGGGGGCTTCAGCTCCGCTCCCACCACCGAATTCCCCCTCAATTTGCCCAACCAAAAATCAGCAAAACAGCCCCAGGAAAATCCCCACCGAAGGGGCACTCCAGGGACCCGGCCAGAGCTGCTTTTGGGGGAAAAAGTTCAAAAAACCTACTGAGAAAAGTAGCAACACGCTCCCCCTGCGCCCCCAGAACAGGAGTCGAGTCCTTCACGTTTTTCTACCTACAAGGGTGGGTTTGTTTCCAAAAGCTGAGAGGCAAAATTAAAAATTTAAAGGTTTAATTACATCCTAAAACCTCTCTCCGGTCGTAAGAGGGGTCATACACAACGTGAGACTCTCCAAGATGGCATCAGGGTATTTTCAAGAGCCCAGAGGTCAAAAGTCATTCATTTTTCACCATAATAATGGTCCTGGTGGACAGGGAACTCTCCAGGAGCCAGCAATGGGCCCTGGTGGCCAAGAGGCCAATGGGATCCTGGGCTGCGGAGGGAAGAGTGTGGCCAGGAGGTGGAGGGAGGTCATTCTCCCCCTCTGCTCTGCACTGGGGAGGCCACAACTGGAATCCTGCCTCCAGTGCTGGGCTCCCCAGTTCAAGAGAGACAGGGAACTGCTGGAGAGAGTCCAGCGAAGGGCAACAAAGGTGATGGAGGGACTGGAGCATCTCCCTGATGAGGAAAGGCTGAGAGAGCTGGGGCTCTTCAGCCTGGAGAAGAGAAGGCTGAGGGGAGACCTTCTTCATGCTTCCAAGGATCTAAAGGGTGGGTTGAAGGAGGATGGAGCCGGACTCTGCTCAGGGGTTCCCAGGGACAGGACGAGGGGCAACGGGCACAAGCTGGACCATGGGAAGTTCCACTCCAATGGGAGGAAGAACTTGTTTGGGGTGAGGGTGGCAGAGCCCTGGCAGAGGCTGCCCAGGGAGGGTGTGGAGTCCCCTTCTCTGGAGATCTTCAAGCCCCACCTGGATGCTCCTGAGTGATGTGCTCTGGGCAGCCCTGCTTTGGCAGGGGAGTGGGACTGGAGGATCTCTAGAGGTTCCTTCTAACTCTGATGATCTCCTGATTCATTTGGTAGAACTCCAACTTGCTGTGCCAGGAACAGGTGACAACCCCTAAATCCTTACTTTACTCTGCTCTGGTGAGACCTCACCTGGAGTATTGTGTGCAGGTCTGGAGCCCTCAATATAAGAAGGACATGGACCTGATGGAGAGGGTCCAGAGGAGGGCCACAAGGACGATCAGGGGGATGGAGCACCTCTGCTCCGAGGACAGGCTGAGGGAGCTGGGGTTGTTCAGCCTGGAGAAGAGGAGGCTCCGGGGAGACCTAATAGCAGCCTTCCAGTACCTGAGGGGAGCCTACAGGAAGGCTGGGGAGAGCCTGTTTAGAAAGGCCTGTAGTGACAGGACGAGGGGCAATGGCTTCAAGCTGGAGGGGAACAGATTTAGACTGGAGATGAGGAGAGGGTTCTTCACTGTGAGGGTGGTGGAGCACTGGAACAGGTTGCCCAGGGAGGTGGTTGAGGCCCCTTCCCTGGAGATATTCAAGGAGAGGCTCGACGAGGCCCTGGGCAACCTGGTCTAGTTGGGGGTGTCCCTGCTGACTGCGGGGGGGTGGGACTAGATGGCCTTTGGAGGTCCCTTCCGGCCTGGACCATTCTATGATTCTTAGCGATGCTGCTTCCAACACGGACCCTCACCCTCAGTGTCTCAGAAACCATCCCCAAGGAGGCTTTTGTGAGCTCTGTCCTGAGCAAAGAGAGAAACCACCCCAAACGTGCCCGTTCCCTGCCTCGGCGGCTGACGACAGGAGACAGGGGTTTTTTTTTTGAAAAAAAAATTCTTTTATTGGAACTCATCTGAACATCAGATATACCTGGTGTTGGTTAGCAAGAACCGTTTGTACATTTGATATTGATGGTGCCAAAAACCCAAACAGCGACTGACTGGATGAGATGGAAATTTAATTAAAAAAAAAATATATAATAGAATAAAATAGAACGTCGGAGAGGTTTCAAATGTGAACAGAAAGCAGAAAGATCAGCCAGTCTGAGATTCAGTGTGAAGGCAAAATATTTCCTGATAAAACAGAACCCTTTTTACAAAATATAAATTTTGTAAGAAAAACGTGGCAAGGGAGAGAGAGAGAGAGACAGAGGGGAAAGAGAAGAAAAAAAAAAAAAAAAAGGGAAATAAAAATAAAGATTAGCAGGACAGAGCTGCAGAAGCTTACACTGCCCAAATGGCGTTAAAACCTAGCTAGGAACCTCACCAGAAAATGAAAACATGCTGGAATACACCCTGCTCCAACCCCCCCCAGAAACCACTTTGGGACGGTAACGAGGACGCTCCCCGGCGAGCGCTGCGCTGGGACATCCCAGAGGGGCCAGGCTGTCCCCCGGGGTGTCAGAAAGGGGAGAAAAAACTAGAACCAGTAACGCAGCTGGGGGGGGATAAGGAGAGTGTGGGCAGCCACTGGTGTCCCCGCCGGGGGGTCCCGGGGGGGTCAGGGAAGGCCTGCTCACTGCTCGTCCTACCGACGCAGGCAGGGGTTGGGGGGGGAAGGCTAAAAACATTGAAAATCTAGTCTATTTGAAAACAATGGCATGCAATGCAGGCCCCCGGGGGAGACCTGCGCTGTTCCCTTTGTCAGAAACTGGCCGAATGGGGCTGGGGAGCGGCCGCAGCCGCGGGGTCGGGGCAGGGCAGGGCACAGAACAAGGATCATTTTCCAAAGCGGGTTCCTCAGGTGGGAAAAGCTTCAGGAAAATCATCGTGGAGCCACTTTCGAGGGGATCTGAGGTCTTTAAGATTTTAAAAATAAACCAGCAGTCTGTACATTTTGGGGTTTTTTTGTTTTTGGATTAAACTGGGCTGCTCATACACCCCCAGCAATTCTCAGATTTCAGAGCAGAGGGAGAGGTGAAACAAACTCCTTTTTGGGCACCTTATCGGTAACAAAACTTAGTCCCTGCTTAACTCTCTGCCATCCCTCAGGAAGTGGAAAGCACATGTTTAGGTAGTGTAAGCCTTTTTCCTTTTATTTAGAATACCCTCTTTGTTTAAACAATATTCCCCCCCCAGATACAAAGTTCGGCCAGTAAAGATTACATGGAAACTGGAACACGCATCGTATGGAATTACAAGATGCACCGGATGAGGAAGTTTAAAAACTTTCCGAGCGAAAAGTAGAACAAAGAAGAAGAAAAAAAAAACCAAAAAAAAAAAAAAAAAGGAAAAAAAAAAAAAGTCTCCTAACATTTTCCCAAAGGTTTCACTCTCCTGTCACACACACTCTCCAAATGACAGCTTAGCAAATTCAACTCTGCAAAAGAAAACAGAGCCACGTCAATGGAGGGGAGAGAAAAGCCAGCCTGGAGGACACCGACCGCACCGGGGCCTGGGGGGACCTGGGGCTGCAGCCCCCACTCACCTATGTCAGCTTCTTGGCTTTGTTGTAGAGCGAATCCACTACTTTGCTCATGTTCTGAATAGTCTCGAGGGCAGCTTCATAGGTTTTGTCTACGGGGGGTTCGTCGAAGATGATGAGGACTCCCTCGCCTTGGTCAAGGATGCCTGGGGACACAAAGCCGGCGTTAAGGCTCGACGGATCCCACCTTCCAGACTGCAGGAATTTGGGGGGGGTCCACCCAGCAAACTGGTCGGCTGTGGTGGGTTTGGAAGGGGCTCACGGGTTGTACGTGGCTGACTGGTTTTTGCCTGGACTGTGCTAACAGTACCTTACCCAAGAGAAAAATAAAACACATCCTTGAGAGGGGCTGAGAAGATGCCCAGGAGATGCTTGTGCCTGCGCAGTCCCCAACAGCCACCTTCCTCCCCAGCCCCCTGTGCTCAGCACAACACCAGGGCAAGGCAAAAATGAGGTTATTTTATAATTAAACCGTTTCCAGGTGCCAGATGGACACTGCAGCTGGGATCTGTGATTTTTGAGTGATTCTCTAACCAGCCATTCATCCTGCTCAGCGAGATCAGGAGGGGCCTTCTACATCGATGCTAGGGACAATGTAAACAAGAACGGGGGCAGGTTCCTCCTGGAAGCCCCTACAACCCCAAACCCATCAGCTCTGCCACGTGGGTGCCCCCCACCAGCACACAGAACGCCCTTGGCATAAATCATCAGGGAGAAGTGACCATATATTCAAGTAAGATCTTCCTGGACCCACCAGTGGGGCTCTCAACCACCCTTGGATGCAGCCGCAGCAAGGAAGGGCTTCCCCAGCCCCCTGTGCTCAGCACAACACCAGGGCAAGGCAAAAATGAGGTTATTTTATAATTAAACCGTTTCCAGGTGCCAGATGGACACTGCAGCTGGGATCTGTGATTTTTGAGTGATTCTCTAACCAGCCATTCATCCTGCTCAGCGAGATCAGGAGGGGCCTTCTACATCGATGCTAGGGACAATGTAAACAAGAACGGGGGCAGGTTCCTCCTGGAAGCCCCTACAACCCCAAACCCATCAGCTCTGCCACGTGGGTGCCCCCCACCAGCACACAGAACGCCCTTGGCATAAATCATCAGGGAGAAGTGACCATATATTCAAGTAAGATCTTCCTGGACCCACCAGTGGGGCTCTCAACCACCCTTGGATGCAGCCGCAGCAAGGAAGGGCTTAACAGGTGGTTTCTAATTTGTGAGAAATTAAGCCTGGAGCTTAACGAAGGCAGATGGAGCAACAGGAAACGACCTCCACAGCAAGAGTAACAAATAAACTCACTGCTCTTGCCTGTTAACCTGCAGCAGAGGGGTCTGAGGAGGATGCTCGGGGCTCAGGGCTGTGATGGTGACGAGGGATCTGCCCCCAGTTTGCTCACACCCCGCCTGCCCTCGGGCAGCAAAGCAGCCAAGGGGGAAGGGTGCACAGACTCACCGTGAAATTTCTTGTCCAAGATCATCTGTGACAGTTTCCTTTCTACCTCAGCCTGAAATTGAAGCAGAAAAATGTAAAGTTTCCCAGAACTATATAAAGAAATGTGAATATTATGACTCCCAACAGCCCTGGCGGGATATAAGCGCTGCTTAAAAGGAGTTATTTTATCCCTGAACTCTGTGTCAGTGCAGATCTCTCTTGCACACTGCTCTGAGACTGCCAGATGCTTTAGATGACACAGGAGATGAAGCAGTAGCTTTCCTCGTGTTCTGCAGGAGCTGGTGTATCTGTCTCTCCCCACAGGCATTGCTCGTTAGGGATTTGGAGCATTAAAGCTCGGTTCAGCAAATATTTAGTCAAGTGTTGGCCAAGCTGACCTCCTGCCCAGCCCAGGCAAGGCCCCCGAGCCAGCTCCTCTCCTGCTCTTTGGACAGAGGACACAGAGCTGCAGTTAAACAACTGCAGACCAGCTTTTACTCAAAACTATTAAATTTGTGTTAAACACCAGGGCAAGACGAGGAAGAGACTGCAGAAGTGGAAGAGGAGGATGGATAACGTAACGACCATAAAGGCTGAGCTCAGGACAGTTCCAAACCTCCGGCAATAAAGGACAAAAGCACTTTGGGATGCAACTGGCTTGGCCTACAGTGGATTTTCCTAAAACTTAATCTGATTGGGATTATCTGTAAAGCACTTACTGCAAGAGTCAACATGACATACGCATCCCTAATGGAAGTTCACAGTGATTAGCTGGATCCCGTGTGTTAAGGGTCTGAGAGAGATTCCTCTGAGCACGCTCACCAGGATTAAATGCAGGTCATGGGGGAAGACCCAGATGGTCACGACACGAGCTGCTCCTACAGCAGAGGAAATCCTGTCTCTCAGAGAAACCAAGTGCTAACACGGGGAGTAACATCCCTAACATGGGGAGTAACACCCCTGCGAAGGAAGGGGATGCTACAGCAAAGCCTTAGCGCAGAGGAAGCCGGTCTGGTGACCCCTGGAAACTGTCTGTGTTGAAGTTAAGATCCCCAGAGCACTATCTGCCTGTAAATGCTGTGGAGCTGCCCTGTCAGGTTTAATAGCCCACGTTTATTTCCCAGTGGCAAACGCCATTTGACCTCAATTCCTTTCCCCTCTGAAGACGCGTCACTGATTTCTAGTGATGTCCTTACCTTTGAGAGCTTGATGAGGCTGGATATGTGTTCAATCTATAAGAGAGACCAACAGAGTTTAGTAAATCTCTAGCTGTAGGTTTGACACACGCCATGGGGGTGTGGGGTTCTGCCCCAGAACAGCTCAAGGGCCTGTAAACACACCAGCCCAAAAATCTCCAATGGCCTTCTCCATTCTGCAGCTCCATGTCCTTCAGATTTCATACCCATTTTTAACCAAAGATGGACTAGACACCTCAAGCCGTTTCACTCTGAAATAACATTTTTTCTCTCCAAGATTATTGCAGCTTTACCCACACTCTGTCAGAGCCCTTGAAAGCCAAACACCTTCAGTGTTTAAAGCACGTCCACCTTTCAATGCGTGTAGCAAAACAGGTGGAAAGGGACTCTGGAATGTGGTTTTCCAAAGCTCCCCTCAGCCCCCTCCTTATCATTTTTCAGCTGAACGTGACGAACCCTGAGCTCTGGAAGTGCTGAGTAGCTCTCAGTAAGATTTATTCTCCACGGGAACAAGTCCCCCAGCCCCCAGCAGCAGGGGACAGGGGTACCACCACGTCGCTGTGCTCGCTGGCAACATTTACCTGTACTCTGGAGAAGGGTTCGATGACTCTGATCAGATTCTGTTCCAATAAGTTATCGTAGAGCTTAGCCAGGTGAGTGTTTATGATGGGGTCGTCCCTGAGCTCCACCTTGTAGTCTGTCAGAGCCTGTGGGGGGCACAGAGGGAAGAAATAATTCGGGTAGCACCAGGTCTCATATCTTTCAAGGCCCTCTGAGGGTGAAAACCTTGACTTCAGCAAGGCTTTTGACACGGTCTCCCATCACATCCTCATTGGGAAACTAAGGCAGTGTGGGCTGGAGGAGGGGACAGTGAGGTGGATTGAGAACTGGCTGTGACAGGACCCAAAGGGTAATGACTCATGGAGCAGGTTCAAGTTGGAGGCCTGTAACCAGTGGTGTCCCCCAGGGTCCATACTTGGTCCAGTGCTGCTCAATATATTCATCAGTGACCTGGAGGAGGGGACAGAGTGTATCCTCAGCAAGTTTGCTGATGATACCAAACTGGGAGGGGTGGCTGACACCCCAGAGGGCTGTGCTGCCATCCAGTGTGACCTGGACAGGCTGGAGAGCTGGGCAAGGAAGAACCTCATGAGGTTCAACAAGGAAAAGTGCAGGATCCTGCACCTGGGGAAGAAGAATGTCAGGCACCAGTACAGGTTAGGGGTGGACCTGCTGGAGACAAGTTCTGAAGAGAAAGATCTAGGGGTCCTGGTGGACAATGTGCAGTGTGCTCTTGTGGCCAAGAGGCCAATGGGATCCTGGGCTGCGGAGGGAAGAGTGTGGCCAGCAGGTCAAGGGAGGTCATTGTCCCCCTCTACTCTGCACTGGGGAGGCCACAACTGGAATCCTATGTCCAGTTCTGGGCTCCCCAGTTCAAGAGGGACAGGGAACTGCTGGAGAGAGTCCAGCGAAGGGCAACGAAGATGATTCAAGGATTGGAGCATCTCCCTTATGAAGAAAGACTGAGAGAGCTGGGGCTCTTCACCCTGGAGAAGAGAAGGCTGAGGGGAGACCTTCTTCATGCTTCCAAGGATCTCAAGGGCGGGTTGAAGGAGGAGGGAGCCAGACTCTTCTCAGTGGTTCCCAGTGAGAGGACGAGGGGCAACGGGCACAAGTTGGAACATAAAGGGCTCCACTTGAATATGAGGAAAAACTTCTTCACAGTGAGGGTGGCAGAGCCCTGGCAGAGGCTGCCCAGGGAGGGCCCTTCCTTCCCTGCCCAGCAAAGCATCAGTGGTTAATCCAATCCCACAACTCAGCTAAAAGGCCAGGAGGTCACGACAGCCTGGCAGCCCTTCAAGCACCGTGCAGCAACTGCCTTTCATCTTTATGCTGCCGAAGCTCGACAAGCAGAGCCACTGGTGGACGCTCAGGACAGCACGGCAGGATCGTTTCCTGACATGGGAATACTCTCCCTTATCTCTGTGGAATTCTTGCTGAAGCCAGGAAAAGAAATGAGGAAGGTACACAGCCCAGTGAACAGCACCAAAAGTTCAGGAAACTGCTTATGAGTTGGCTCTCCAAAATAATAATAATTTTAAAAAAACCCTCAAAGAACCCCCCAAACAGATGAACTCCCCCGGTTTCAAGCAAGATACCACTCCCCATCCTGCAAAACCCCAAGCAGTTGATTATTGTAAGGTGTCTGCTTGACACACTCTTGCTTTCCATGAATGTTTTTATGGTTTCCTGCTGGGGGACGTAACAGCTCCTACAACTTCCCAAACCCGGCATTTCTGAGCGTTTTTGTCCAACCAGGTCCCCTTTTTCTGTCTCCTGACTCACCTTCTCAAAATCTGCCAACGACCGGTTCTTACTGGCCTGTGCCACACATTTTAGTGCTTCTGTCTGCAGAGAAAGAAAACGAGAGCAGGGTTATTTTTCTGGCTGCTCCTCTCAGTGTTATCACGCCAACTGTGCAGCGTCTTGAAAACGTGCTTAAGCAGCAAAAGGGGAATGTTCCTCTTCCTACAGAGCCCTGTCAGTGCTGCTTCCACACGGGCAGAGCCAGGACAGCTGCTAATAAGGAGAACATGCAGAACAGCTGCAGGACACAGCGTGAAATCAGCTTCAGGGAGACAAAGAACTCAAGTCTTGCAAGGTCTGAGAACACCAGCTGCAGCCCCTATCGGGTTGCAGGTTGGGAGCTTGACACAGCTTTTAAGGAAAGTGCACATTTGGGCACATGTTTAATGAAGGTGGCCATTCTCAGCCCCTAAGCTGTGTTTCTCCCCTCCAGCAGGTCACATTTCCTCTGCTGAGCAGCAGAAGGATGGCACAAGTCCTAGGGACACCCTGTCACAGACGGCATCGGGAGGTGTTTCTTGCCTGCCCCACAATTGCCAAAACAAAGCAAAAGACTCGGCCACGAACTACCATATTTAAACTAAACAGAATAGTAACACCCCCAGAAGAACAGTTTCTGAGTGGTGAGAGGAACAAGTGCATGAGACAATAGAATCATCATAGAATGGTTTGGGTTGGGAGGGACCTTAAAGCCCCCCCAGCGCCACCCCCTGCCCTGGGCAGGGACACCTCCCACCACACCAGGTTGCTCCAAGCCCCCTCCAACCTGCCCTTGAACCCCTCCAGGGATGGGGAGATCTTTTCACCTCTTGAACTCTACCAGCTCCTTGGCTTTCAGCTCTTTCCAGCTCTGCCCTTTACCTCTCCTCCCATCAGCAATGACTTCCAAGCAGGCCGACCCACTGCCCAGCTCTCCACAGGAGCTGGAGGAAGACTTTTTTTCCCCTTTACCATCATATTTTGCAGCTCCAGGTCCCTGGGTGACTGCCTTTGCCAGCGTGAGCCCAGCAGTGTGTCTTTGCTGTGCTCAAGTGAAGGGAGCACCAGGACTTCTAAAACACAGCTCTGTGTTGGGTCATGGAATGGTTTGGGTGGGAAGGGACCTTAAAGCCCCCCCAGTGCCACCCCCTGCCCTGGGCAGGGACACCTCCCACCACACCAGGTTGCTCCAAGCCCCCCCCAACCTGCCCTTGAACCCCTCCAGGGATGGGGCAGCCACAGCTTCTCTGGCCAACCTGGGCCAGTGCAAGCAGGACAACCTGGTGGCTGTGGTGCACAAGGCTCAGGCTTCTGCTGCCATGTCCCCCACCAAGCTGTCCCCCCGCTTTCTCTCTGTTCCCCAGGCTCAGTTTCCACAGCTGCAGCAGGAACCCTCTGTCTCAGGAGGAGATCACAGGGAGCAGCTGAGATTTTCCTCTGAAAAGGAGCCTCCAGCCCAGCTGCCGCTCGGGGGAAGGGGATGAAGCAGGACTGGGGCTGCCCTTTGTGATCCTGCAGGGATAACGCAGGGATATCCCCGCTCCAGACTCTTCCATGCACGTGTGCTCACTGACCTGCTCTGCTAAAGAGCTTCCCTGACCCTCTGTGAGGTAGGAGAGCATTAGCTCCTGCGTCAAAGTAAATAGCTGGCTGACCAAAGCCACCGAGGGCACGGGTGTGTAAGCCTGGCGCAGACCCTGGCACGCTTGGCTTTTGGCCCTGGGCTTCACATAAGCATCCCTGGATTTAATACGGGGGTGGCACTCACTCGCAGACTGGCAAGTCAACACGTTAGAATAAACAGTTGATTTAACAGCTCCCCAGCTGCCCGGCCTCCACCTTACAGACATCTAGGTCTCAAGCTGCTCTGCCATGAATGGATCTTTCAGGACTTGCTACAACACAAGCGAAAAGAATGAGAAACTTGGATTTAAATAGATGAGATCCATGGCTGCAGAGCAGCTGGTGAGGGCCGAGACGGGAGCACCTTATGGCATCAGGCATTTAGGAGTTCATAAAGAAAACAGGGAGGAGAAAAACAGAAAATAAAGCAAGCAGGCCAGATTCTCAGGTTGTGAAAATCCCTGTATTCCCTTTGAAGGCAACTGACTTTTGGTAATTACTTCTGGTAATTTAATCAGTCCTGGATCTTGTTCGGGACACTCAGCAGTGAAGGGTATTTCAGTATGAAAAGACCAAAGTATCTGACTAACAGAACCCCACAATATTCTCAGAGATAATAGGAAGATAGAAAGGATGAAGTTTCTATACCTGTCTTCCTGCATACCGCAGAGCAAGCTTCCCACTCACTAACGCTTGCACATCTTCTGGGCTAGAGAGGGAGGGAGAATTACTTCTGGTAATTTAATCCGTCCTGGATCTTGTTCAGGACACTCAGCAGCGAAGGGTATTTTGGTATGAAAAGACCAAAGTATCTGACTAACAGAACCCCACAATATTCTCAGAGATAATAGGAAGATAGAAAGGATGAAGTTTCTATACCTGTCTTCCTGCATACCGCAGAGCAAGCTTCCCACTCACTAACGCTTGCACATCTTCTGGGCTAGAGAGGGAGGGAAGAGAGCATTTATTCAACAACACGGTCAGCTTAAATCGAAGCGCGTCTCAAAAATTCCCAATTAATGGCAAATTACTACAATTCAAGTAACATCATATCGCAAGCATCGATTAGTTCATAAATAATTAATGGCAAATTACTACAATTCAATCATATCGCAAGCATCGATTAGTTCATAAAGACAGACAAACAGCAAGCTCGTCTGCTTGAGTTCTTTCATTAGTAGAGGGTCTTATAAACAAAAAGCCTTCCCCATTTAAATATAGGAAGTGTTCTTCGCAGAACCATTTGCCACGTACATGTTCAGCATGATTTTGCACAGCAACATGTATTTCAGCGCAGTGATGGCTTTTGGGTTGTCAATTGAATCATATCCCTCAAACGCCTCGTAAAAATATGAATAGGCTGTTTTCCAGTCCTTCTCTTCTGCTGCATGAATAATACCTGTGGAGAGGAACAAACAGGAGAGCAGCAGAGTCAATTCTGAACGTCACTGGAAGAAGACAGAGCAATTTGGTTGCCTGGTGCTTTATCCGGTACTTCAGGAAAGAGATTTCTTTCCTTCTGTGTCCCCCTTTACCTTATCTCTGGCAGAAAATCATCCGTGCCCTCTCTTAAGGGGAATTGTTAAGAAAGGCAAGTTTGGGGCACTTTAGGTAAGTGCCTGCAAATCAGGTCAGGGCCATTACAGTTACACTAACGTGGTGTAACGCTGTAGTGCCTGGGGAGGTTACGGACCCTCCATCACTGGAGGTTTTTAAAACAGGCTGAAAAAAAATGTCTCAGGAACAATGTAATTAGAGCTGATGCTGCCTTCAGGCAGCTGGGCAGAGGAGTGGGTATCTTGCGGTCCCACCTAGAACCATTTTCTGTGATTCACTCAGGAAAGAACAAATACCAGTCAAGTGATGCACGGTGACAAGCCCTGGGCTCTCCCCTCCCGCTGCAGGGCCTTACCTGACTGCATGTCTAACGCCGCCTGCAGCTTGGGAGGGCAGTAGATGGCGTTGGCCGTAGTCCGCGCTGAGGTTAAGGCTGCTCTTGCTTTTGGCAGGTTGCTCAGGGCATGGTAAGTCTTACTTTCTAACAGCTGCACTTCCACCAGCAACGCCTTGTCGTCCATCTTTTTCAATTCCCGAAGGAGCTGGGAGCCTAGCAGAGGGGAAGAACGAGAGAGAACCTTTGTGATGGCTGAATATGAGCCGGCCGTGTGCCCAGGACTTTGTGACCTGCTCTGCAGCCACTACCAACAACTACACAAACCAAGTTCTTCCAGACAACAACTTTCTTCCCCCCACAGCAGCTCTGGCTTAGAGGAACGATACCAAGCTGTGTGGTGTTGTCGATACACCAGAGGGATGGGATGTCATCCAAAAGGACCTGGACAGGCTGGAGAGGTGGGCCCAGGTGAACCTCATGAGGTTCAACAAGAGCAAGTGCAGGGTTCTGCACCCACGCCAGAACAATCCTCACCATCAGTACAGACCAGGGGATGAGGTATCAGAAAGCAGCCCTGAGGAAAGGGACTTGGGGGTTACACAAACCAAGTTCTTCCAGACAACAACTTTCTTCCCCCCACAGCAGCTCTGGCTTAGAGGAAGGGGGGCTCAGCTCACACAACCTGTTCTTCCAAGGAGAAACAAAGGAGAGGAAATGATAGTGGGTCAGTGTCAGTCCACAGCTGGAGAAGAAGTTCTGGCTGCCCCATCCCTGGAGGTCGGACTAGATGACCTTTGGAGGTCCCTTCCGGCCTGGACCATTCTATGATTCTATGAGGTATTAGAAAGCAACCCCAAGCAGAGGAGGGCCTGCTCCAAGGACAGGCTGAGGGAGCTGGGGTTGTTCAGCCTGGAGAAGAGGAGGCTCTGGGGAGACCTAATAGCAGCCTTCCAGTACCTGAGGGGAGCTACAGGAAGGCTGGGGAGAGCCTGTTTAGAAAGGGCTGCAGTGACAGGACGAGGGGCAATGGCTTCAAGCTGGAGGGGAACAGATTTGGTATTAGAAAGCAACCCCAAGGAAAGGGACTTGGTGGGTGTTGGTGGGTGAGAAGCTCAACAGGAGCCGGCAGTGGGCACTGGCAGCCCAGAAAGCCAACCCCATCCTGGGCTGCATCAAGAGAAGTGTGGCCAGCAGGTTGTGGGGGTGATTCTACCCCTCTGCTCTGCGCTGGTGAGACCGTGAGGACAGAAAGAGCCAGCCTCAGACAGCTCTTCCCCTTCTTTCTGCCCACTACCAACTAAAGAGCTAATTTTCCCAGGACAACAGTGTGATTTACTGCTCAGGTTCACAGCTCCGAGCAAACCAGCAGAACTGCCCACTCCCCCATCCTTCCCCTAGGGTGGGACCTGAGGATTTTCAAGCAACTCCTAAGAATATGGGATGAGGAGGGAATGTTTTAAGCACAAGATATCTACAGATCAAATTTAGGAGGTAGGAATGGATCGCCTAAGAAATTATTTAAACTGGCACATTGAAGCCGTGTGAGGACAGAAAGAGCCAGCCTCAGAAAGCTCTTCCCCTTCTTTCTGCCCACTACCAACTAAAGAGCTAACTTGGGGCAAGCAGATGAGAACTTCATCCTCACTTGCTCTATTAGATACCGAAAACCACAGCTGAGACTGGGTAATGAGGTGGAAGAGAATGGTCTCTCCCCAGAAACACCCCACAGACACTCTCTGCTTGCACCCACTCCCCTCTTGACCAGTCCCACAGCAGTGCTAGTGCACATCGATATCTCAATGGGGCCTCAAGAGAGGCTGTCCTACAGCTACAGGCCTTCACAACCCCCTAAGCTGTCCCACCAGCATTAATTTAATAAAGCACAGCTTTGCAGCGTGGACTCTCATTAGTTTAAATCCGAGTTCATTATATATCCATATGCAAATGACTTCCAACTTGATACTGAATTCCATGTATCAGAGCACTTGATATTCTGATCAGACACAAGTCACCCAGGTGACCTGGGACGTGACACACTCGTGCCACCAGACTGTTTAAGAAGTTACAGGTCCCTGGTGAGGCATCACCACTGCCTGGGCGAGCACTTCTGTCCATTGTGTCTGCCACCTCCCCATGGACAGACAGCACTCAGCAGAAAGCCAAGGCTGGGTTGTGCAGTTCAGATGGTCACTCTGGTGACCCTTTCCCAGGACAACAGTGTGATTTACTGCTCAGGTTCACAGCTCCGAGCAAACCAGCAGAACTGCCCACTCCCCCATCCTTCCCCTAGGGTGGGACCTGAGGATTTTCAAGCAACTCCTAAGAATATGGGATGAGGAGGGAATGTTTTAAGCACAAGATATCTACAGATCAAATCTAGGAGGCAGGAATGGATCACCTAAGGAATTATTTAAACTGGCACATTGAAGCCGTGTGAGGACAGAAAGAGCCAGCCTCAGACAGCTCTTCCCCTTCTTTCTGCCCACTACCAACTAAAGAGCTAATTTGGGGCAAGCAGATGAGAACCTCATCCTCACTTGCTCTGCTTAGACACTGAAAACCACAGCTGAGACTGGGTAATGAGGTGGAAGAGAATGGTCTCTCCCCATAAACACCCCACAGACACTCTCTGCTTGCACCTACTCCCCTCTTGACCTGTCACACAGAGGTGCTAGTGCACATCGATATCTCGATGGAGCCTCAAGAGAGGCTGTCCTACAGCTACAGGCCTTCACAACCCCCTAAGCTGTCCCACCAGCATTAATTTAATAAAGCACAGCTTTGCAGCGTGGACTCTCATTAGTTTAAATCCGAGTTCATTATATATCCATATGCAAATGACTTCCAACTTGATACTGAATTCCATGTATCAGAGCACTTGATATTCTGATCAGACACAAGTCACCCAGGTGACCTGGGACGTGACACACTCGTGCCACCAGACTGTTTAAGAAGTTACAGGTCCCTGGTGAGGCATCACCACTGCCTGGGCGAGCACTTCTGTCCATGTCACGGAGCAGTCTGTGTAAACACCCTTCAGCCAGCTCAAACCTCATCACACCTTACCCCAGTCATTTGCAGAACGAGCATTTGTAAAGCCCCGGAGGGAGCTGGGCCCTGTAAGAATGACCTGCTTTGTGGCAGAGCAGGAGAGTTCACATGGTTCATTACCATATCTCAGGTGGTGCAGGAGCAAATTCTGAAAGCCTTTCGACTGCTTCACATCAGCTTGTCTAATTACATCCTTAGAGGTTTGCCATTTCCCAGCGTTTCTACTGCTTTTACTGAGGCTGCGTTTGAGCACACTGGAAAAAGGTGGTTTCTCCCTCCGACCTCTGACCACAGCAGCATATACTCTGTATGGTCCAGCAGGAGCCAAACCTGAGGGCCTTCAGCTGGATACAGCTCCTCTTTGCTTCCAAAATTATTTAAGATGAACAAATGACGATGAACAAAGAGGTGTCTAAAAGCATTTTATCACCAAGTCATAGCACAAGATGGCAGAGCTGGTCCAGCACTGAGAAATCAATGCCCAAGTCCTACCAAACTTATGAAGGAACACGAATGACGTAGGGGATCATTTTCCTCCTCAGCCTCGGGACTAATGACAAAGCAAAGAGCTACCACCACCTTGTGGAGACTCACCCAGCTGCAGCGCTTCCTGGTACCTCTTGGTGTCGAAGTACAAAGAGACCAGCCTGGCCTGGGGAACAGAAAAGGAACTGCTGTGAGGAAAGCCAGAGAGAGGTAGCACAGATTTATTTTGCTAAATGAAACTTCATTAAATTAGTTTCTATTCATTACTTCATACGGCCCATTTCTGCAAGATCTAACATTTGGAAGATTGGGTCGTTTAAACACAAGGGGTAAAATCCTGCTTATTCAAGGAAAATCACTAACTTTGGTGTAATTTTTATTGCCCATCCATGACATGTACAAAGATCCAGACAACACACCACAAGTTCCTCACAAATTGGAGAGCCACCAAGCTGGGGAGGGGGCTGGAGAACAAGTCACACGAGGAGAGGCTGAGGGAACTGGGCATGTTTAGTTTGGAGAAGAGGAGGCTGCGGGGAGACCTCATTGCCCTCTACAGCTCCCTGAAAGGAGGGTGGAGAGAGGTGGGGGTTGGCCTCTTCTCCCAAGGGAATAATGACAGGAGCAGAGGAAATGGTCTGAAGTTGGGGCAGGGGAGGTTTAGATGAGATCTTAGGAAGAATGACTATCTTGTGAGGGTGGTCAGGTGGTGGAAGAGAGTGCCTGGGGAGGTGGTGAATTCAACCACCCTGGAGGGATTTAAGGAACATGTAGACGTGGCACTTCAGGGCATGCTCTAGTGCCTGAGATTGTGGGGGCCTTTTGCATGTGTGTGGTTGGACCCTGTGATCTCAGAGGTCCTTTCTAACCATGAAGATTCTGTGACCTCTATAGCTATTAAATCTGATAAAGGGAAGACGTTATCACACAGGTTTGGGATCCACACTGTAACCTACCTCCAGAGCCTGGCGTAGGAAAGTCCTCTTCTCTGATTTGGCCCATTCAATACACTCTAAACACAGGTCAACCTTTAAGGGAACAGAAAGAAATGTATAAACCCTTCTTCTGCCTCTCTTTAAAACAGCAGTATGGTTCAACCCCTTCCTACAGAGCAACAAAAATACAACAAAGCCTGAATCCCCACAATGTAGTTGGAGAAAAGAAGCTGTTCCTGTGTGAACAGCAGCATCTCTAAGCATCAAATTAGCTTTACTCTGAAATGAGCCTGGAGATCAGCCTTCATCCTTAGTGCCTACCCCAAACTGCTCCAAACGACACCTTTAATAAGGTGCAGTTCCCCAAGAACTGTGCCTCAACTGCAGATTTAGTGGCTCCTCCTCAGCGAGGACTCCCTGATCGCCCCACACCACACACTTCAGCCTCGGGCTGCATCATGCTGACACCAGAGTCTACGCTCACAGAAATGTTGCACAAAATGATAGAAAACAGTTAAATCGTGCTACATGTTTTCATATTCTATCTGCTAGATTAACTTCCTGCACTTTGTAACAACGTTCACAGTATTATCCCGCTTCTAATACGCTCTGCAAGAGAAAGTGAAGTTCAGAAGACAAACAAAGGCTCAGTTTAAGCTTTAACCATCACAAGAAAACCCAAGAGACCACCTTCTTTGATTCCTCCTCTGAAGCACTCTGCTTCCAATAACTTTTTTCTGACCAACAGGGACAATCCTCCCACACTGGAATATGAAAATAAAGATTTGGCTCCCAAAGTTTCACCGGTAAAAATGACTGCTGAAATCCTAAGGGCATTTCTTAAACAGCTGTGGGTTTGTTTGAAATAAAAACATCTGGGTACAGCAGAACCGATCCCGCCTGCGGGCAAGGGATGAACTGAAAGGCTTTGAGGTCCCTTCCAGCGCGTTTCGCACCATTTCCTTTATAGACAGAGAGAGATCTGTATTTTCAAATGCTCTAGAAAGGAAGGAAAACGCAGTGCACGTGTTTTAGGGCCAAAATATGTCAGATCCCGTGTAACTTAGAATTATAAAGCACCAGAGGTGCCAGCTCCACTATTTACAGCCGAGTCAGGTGCCAGGAGCCAGTCAGTGACACTGGATGGTTTATTTGTTACTTCAGAGCAGAGTAAAGGAACTCAATGGCTTCTCAAATTTTTAAGACTGCTGAGGTTCCCTTGATGAATAAAGCAGGCACCTTCCACCCCAATTAGAAGCGGGTGTCGATTTAATCCTGGCCAATAATACACAGTAAGTCATCCCGAGGTGCTCGGCTCAGGAATGCCTTTTCCCAAAAATCTCTGGACTATGGGTCTTTCTGGAGCAGCTCCGGAGCTCTGCTGCACTGCAGGACCTGTCAGCCCCTCGTCGCTGCTTATTAAATGGGGACAATTTATGATAAGCCATTATGAAGCTGCAATTCATTGCACTGTGATAGCTGGAGCATTAGGAGCCGGAGAAATCTCCGATTTCATTGCTTTACTGGGCTCTTGGGAGCCTTCTTCATCTAAGTTACACCGAGGAAGCAAGTGTCCCTCTGAACATTGCTGAAAGCACTCAGGATTCCTGCATCACGAACCTCACAGGTCAGGTGGTGTAATTCCTTAAGATTTTGGCTTCTGAATACACTTGAAAGTGAATGTTTTGACTAACTGGGCCACTTCTCCATCACTGTTCCTCCAAGTTCTTCCCCTGCCATAAAACGCCACCTTTTGGGACTGCATCCCAAAGTTTTTTTACACCATTTACACCAAGTTACCTTTAGAAAAATCTGAAGCCACTGACTGATTCTCTCTTGAGCCCTTTAGGGGTTTCCTTCTCACCTGCACATCCCAACCCCACTCCCCTTGATCTCTTCTGTCTGTCCATCACTGAAGGATGATGCTTCCGCACTGATTTGGCCCCTCAGAACCTCTTGGAGTAAAGAAGAGGGGCAAAAGAGTCTGTCCATCACTGAAGGATGATACACTGATTTGGCCCCTCAGAACCTCTTGGAGGCTAGAATTTGCCAATCACTGTGGGTTCAATGTTATAAAGTAACTCTATCCGAGGGAGCTAATGAGAACAGAGTAAATCCTCACTGGGAGCTATCTTGGACTGAATGGGTTTTCCAGTGGAGAAGTTAATCCACTGGAAGTAGTTTACATTTGGTAACTGCAAAACATTGTCCACTCCCACTTCAGAAGGAGCTTTCAAGCCTCAGAATGCCTCTGTTGAGTAAGATGCCACTGCACTGTGTCCCCACACAATACACCTTGATGGCTCCAGGTGAGAGATGCTAAATAATCCTCAGCATCTTGAGAGGCCGGAGAGTTGGGACTGTGTGAACCTCATGAAGTTCAACCAGGCCAGGCTAGAATTTGCCAATCACTGTGGGTTCAATGTTATAAAGTAACTCTATCCGAGGGAGCTAATGAGAACAGAGTAAATCCTCACTGGGAGCTATCTTGGACTGAATGGGTTTTCCAGTGGAGAAGTTAATCCACTGGAAGTAGTTTACATTTGGTAACTGCAAAACATTGTCCACTCCCACTTCAGAAGGAGCTTTCAAGCCTCAGAATGCCTCTGTTGAGTAAGATGCCACTGCACTGTGTCCCCACACAATACACCTTCATGTCTCCAGGTGAGAGAAGCTAAATAATCCCCCACACCCTGGGATGCATCCCCAGCCCCGTGGCCAGCAGGGCCAGGGGGGGATTCTGCCCCTCTGCTCCGCTCTGGGGAGACCCCCCCAGTGCTGCCTCCAGCTCTGGGGCCACCACCAGCAGAAGGACATGGAGCTGTTGGAGCGGGGCCAGAGGAGGCCCCGGAGATGCTGGGAGGGCTGGAGCCCCTCTGCTGGGAGGGGGGGCTGAGAGAGTTGGGGGGTTCAGCCTGGAGAAGAGAAGGCTCCGGGGAGACCTTGGAGCCCCTTCCAGTCCCTCAAGGGGCTCCAGGAGAGATGGGGAGGGACTCTGGATGAGGGAGGGGAGCCCTAGGAGGAGGGGGAAGGGTTTGACCCTGCAAGAGGGGAGATGGAGCTGAGATGTGGGGAAGAACTTGTTTGGTGTGAGGGTGGTGAGAGCCTGGCCCAGGTTGCCCAGAGAAGCTGTGGCTGCCCCATCCCTGGAGGGGTTCAAGGACAGGTTGGAGGGGGCCTGGAGCAACCTGGTGTGGTGGGAGGTGTCCCTGCCCAGGGCAGGAGGGTCAAACTTGATGATCTTTAAGGTCCCTTCCAACCTGAACCATTCTATGACTCTATCTAATCACACCAACTCCTGACCTGACCTCGAACGGTCCCTCCTCTAGCTCTGGGCCATCACACACTGTCCCCACTGTTCCACTGGACCGAGCTCACTGGGACAGGCGTTGCTCCTCTCACACCCCCAACACTAATCACACCACAAACTACTACTAATGCTGTGTGCCTAACACAAATCTAAGAAAAATGCCCAGGGGGAGAGTTACTTCTAACCTGGAACAGATTGAGGCTTGCGGAAAAACATGAGCAAATTAAATTATCTGAAGTTTTATTAATATGTACAAATGCACTAAATGAATGTTTCCTGACATGAATAATCATTCAGTGTGAAGCAAAGTAGGTCAGATAATGGTGTTAGAGGGTTTTGAGGAATGCAGAAGCACTGAAATGTGAATCTCACCTCCTGTCCTGTTGCAGCCTCCATGTCGAGGAAGAGATCGAGCAGGGACCGGACTAAACGGGCTGCCTTTGCTTTGCTGATGGAGTTCAGGAAGGGTCGGACGTACTTCAGGAGCCCTCCCAGCTCTGTAGGCAAGAAAAACCCAAGAGTGAAGCACAACGGCACGGCCAAAAGTCCCACCACAGCTGGAGCACTCGACACGTCCGTACACAGCGGTATTTATTACAGCAAACAATTTCTAAGCAGTCTCTCAACATCATTTATGGGAAAAGGGTGATAAACATCCCCCGAAGGAAGGCCTCGCAGTAAACAGGGGGCTGGCAAAGGCCAGGGCTGGGCTCTGCTCTTCCCCCCACTGCAGTTCACCCAATTATAACCCCATTTGTAACTGCACTTGCCTCGGGCACGTTTTAAAAACATAAGCATCTGCTAAACGCTTTGAGATTTTTCTGTAAAACAGGCAACGGAGTTTTATAGTTTAAGTATGTTTTTATTAACTCACAGTTTGAGGTTTTAATCTGCCATACCTAAGCCAGTCAGATACGCTCCACTACTGAATAAAGGACATTTCTAACACTTCAACTACCCACACTACCCAGTTAGACCTTACCTTACCCAACTAGTTTTCTGTTTCTACTAGTCTCCTTAGTTTACAGTTACAAAACTAGTCTCAAGCTCACAAAAGAAAAAATCTTTATGAAGAAATACACTAAAAATGTCATTTTTAGGGCAGGAATGTCACGGCAGTTTCAGGACTCGTGGGAGCAGAAGGGAGTTGAGTGCTGGAACCACAGAGCACAAGTCAAAAGTCTTCTCCTGCCCTAAAGAACATGGGACCAGGTCACTGAGACACGTGTTCACAGCCAGGGAAGGTGATCCCTGCAGCAGCCGAGCCGGAGCAGGGCTCGGGGCCGACTCACAAAGCCATGGGGTCACACGTGGAAATCACCCCTTGGTTACTCCAGAATTTTAAGCCTCCCCCAACCATCAGCCAGATCTCACACTACCATCTTTACAGGAGTTGGTAGTAAAAAAAACAAACAACAAAACAAAACCTGTAATGAGTATTTCAGGACTCTTCAATATATTCTATACCAAACTAAACTAAGACACTAATTTTATTTCAATTAGTATTAAGAGGAGCATCTATAGAATTTCAGTTTTGGAGGATTCCAATAAAAACAGATGAAAACAAGGTTTCTTTCGTATTTCACTTAGCAGTAATGCTAAATAATTTTTGTAAGAATAATTTTAATAATTACATAAAATTATTCCTTACATTTTTAAGTTTCTCAACCTGTTTATTTTTAAAGTTTAATCAAGCCCAATACAGCTCATTTCTTCCGTTAAGAAGTGGGACTCCCAGCGTGTTCCAATCCAGTTGCTCATGGTGATGGAGTGCCATTTTTATACATCTGAAAGCAGAGTTTTAGAACAAATGGAACTTTTCTGGAGTGCGCCCTGAATCCTTAGAGGAGCCTTATTTTCCAAACAGCAGAGCAACAAACCCCCACTCTTCCTGCAATGAACCACTCAGACTTTGTACAGGGAATAAAACAAGACGCTACGACCGCCATGCCTAAGATTTCATGAAAATTTTACTTTCTGAGAATAAATGGGCAGTTTTTTCTAGAACTGAGACACTAATACTGGAATATTGAAGAATGAGCACTGCTGACTGATGGTTTCAATCAGCTTTTACTCGACAAGGAAAACTTTACTGACTTCACCCACAGATGATGACTTCACCCACACTGCCTGCCTTCTGAGGAGCGCTCGATCTGCAGCACCACTCGGGGAGGCAAAACCCCATCATTTTAACCAAACGCTTTGGTTTCACACACAGTAAACAAACCACCATGACAGCAGCTTCCAACACATCCGTTTTGTGGAGCTACTCTCACGTATCACTCCTCTCGACGTGACCTGACAAAGGTGGGCTCCAGATCACCCTGTTGGGCTCAGAAGAGAAGCTGGAGCTGCCCAGAAGCTGGTTCTTGTGCTCTTCCCTTGAAAACACCACACAACACCAGGAATAAGTCTGCTTCTTAGCAGGCCACACCACTGCAACCTCAGCTTTGAGCTCTGTAACTAAGAATTTGCCGATTTTTGTCCACCTTATCAAGGCAGCAAGACTCTCTCCAAGCTCCATCAAAATTTGCCGATTTTTGTCCAGCTTATCAAGGCAGCAAGACTCTCTCCAAGCTCCATCAGCTCCCAGTTACTACAAGGTACCTTCTTACTGGGCATCGCGGCATTACACCCGCTCCTCAAGGCCAACTGAGTCAAGGTTTTAGCACACAACGTGCTCTTCCACACAGGAAAGCAACTTTAGAAGAAAAGAATGGGGAAAAAAACCCAAAAAACACACAAAATACACTGCAGTGCTTGTCCCTGTACTGACTCGCTCAACAGCAGCCCAAGAATTCCCCAGAAAGCAGGATCAACAATTAGAATATCCCTACATTTTGCAAACTACACTTTTAGAGGTGCAAGCTCAAAGTTCCCATAGAAATTTCTCTTTCCTACCAACGTAACTGTCACCTATTTTTAGGATTATGGTTTTTTTTGTTTTTTTTTAAAGTAAATGCAGTGCTTGGTAATGGTGTGATTGACAGCTCTAGAGAAGTGATGAGCAGGCTCTGTGGAAAATGAAGGCTGCAGCTCATCCTCAGAGAAAGCACTTCCCCCAGCTAACGTGCCACGAACCTGGATCCCTCAGCCCAGGTATTCCCAGTTTTAAACAATGCTATAAAAATCTAGAGCTGTCCTAGAAAAAAAAAAAAAAAAGTAATTAATCTACCAGTTCAATCCTTAATCTCTATCAAGCAGATAAAGAGGGTCATTTGTAGTATTATTATTATTATTATTATTTTAAGCAAAAGCTGTAGTTCACTAGAGGTTAGTCCTCTACAACCTACAGATTGATTTTACACCCCCAGCCAGTCAGCACCACAGCAGTTGTAATGTTCAAACCCCACCAAGCTGCAGCTGATGTTTTCCTGAGGCTGCAGCTCATGGACCCTTTCTTCTCCCCAGAAAGGCTGGAGAGCAGCCCTGAGGAGAAGGACTTGGGGGTGCTCGTGGATGAGAAGCTTGACCTGAGCTGGTAAATCCTGGGCTGCATCAAAAGAAGCATGGCCAGCAGGTCACGGGAGGTGATTCTGCCCCTCTGCTCTGGGGAGACCCCACCTGGAGTCCTGTGTCCAACTTTGGAGTCCTCAGCACAGGAAGGACATGGATCTGTTGGAACGGGTCCAGTGGAGGGCCACGAGGATGATCAGAGGGATGGAGCACCTCTGCTATGGAGACAGGCTGAGAGAGCTGGGGTTGTTCAGCCTGGAGAAGGCTCCAGGGAGACCTTGGAGCCTCTTCCAATATCTGAAAGGCCTCCAGGAGAGATGGGGAGGGACTCTGGACCAGGGAGGGGAGCCCTAGGAGAAGGGGTAATGGCTTTAAATTGAAAAGAGGGGAGAATTAGATTAGATACTAGGAATAACTTCTTTGCTGTGAGGGTGGTGAGAGCCTGGCCCAGGTTGCCCCGAGAAGCTGTGGCTGCCCCATCCCTGGAGGGGTTCAAGGCCAGGTTGGAGGGGGCTTGGAGCAACCTGGTGTGGTGGGAGGTGTCCCTGCCCAGGGCAGGGGGGTTGGAACTTGGTGATCTTTAAGGTCCCTTCCAACTCTAACCACTCTATGATTCTATGATCTCAGGGTAATTACCAGTTGAAAGTAGCCAATGAGCCACCACAACACCTCGACTCTGTCAAAGAAATTCCACCAGCTGAAACAAAAACATCTGCAGTGAGAGCTACAGTGATATCCGTTTCATTTGGGCCAGAAAATGCACAATCTCAGCAATTCCCTCATTAGATTAAGCAGCACTGGAGTTGCTCCCCTCCGATACGAAAACCCACGTGTCTTTGGGAACAGTTGGCCCTGGTGAAGAAGCTGCTGCCCCTGACTGTCACTCCCACCAGCCTACTGCACCCTAGACAGCACATGGAGAGAGAAGGTGACAGTGTCTTTCCCACAGGACTGGCACATCTCTACACTGTGGTAGCTCCTTTCTTCATCCCCAGCTTCACTGCAGAAGGCACAATGTGATCTCACTCCCATCTACACACACACACAGCTGCCCTCTTCATGTCACTAAACTAATTTTCTTCTGTTCAGACTCTAGTTGCTCTGCAGCTTGGTGTTCCCTTGACACACATACGTGGTCTTGATGTCATCATTACTAATCACTTAGCCTTCCCCTTAAAAAAAATAAATAAAACTATTAGCTACCCACCCTCTGAGAATACACTGAAGTTCTTTAAACTTCTGTAAGACTTCAGCTCAACTCAAAACTCCAAGTTCTGCAGCCATAAGGAGGCTGTCGTGCACCCAACAACCCTTCTCTCTGGCCGTGGGCACCAGAAGCACAGCCACACATTCACCTGGAGAGACTTTTTTGATGATTTCCCCCTTTTTAGCCCAAACACACACATCTCCCTTGGTACAGGAGTAAAGCCATCTTTAGTTATCTCCACAGAAGCAAACATGAGAGTGCAAAGGGCACCCAAACACCGCAGACACCTCTGAGCTAATTGATTTGAGGTCCTGTAATACTCAATTAGAGAAACAGGCCCTAGTACAGCTGGGGCTGTACTTCCTTTGTCCTGCCCCACACTCTTACTGTAGAAGAGATAAGTCATGTGGTGAAAGGGCTTCTTTTTCTCCACTGACTACAAAAGCAATCCACACAAGGAAACCACACATGGACATCCAGAGAGAGGTGAGATGAAGAGCACCTTTGTCTCCAGCACCACTCTACCTGCAAACAATCTACTCCATCGCAAGCTCCGTTCAATTACAAATCATGGGGGCATCAGTGTCTGAACATCCAAACACGGGCAGACGGGGGTAGATCAGTTAAATGCCCAAATCAAAATAGATGTTTGCAAAGACTGGGCAGTAGGACACCAAGTGTGTGTTTCAGAACAAATATAAAACCATGCTCCTGACCTCCTGCTGTCTGAGACCTCACACTGCTTTCCACGAACGACTCTAACGTTAGATCTGCCATCCCAGTCGGATTTCAGTTCAGTTTGATTAAACCTTCTGCTGGTCTGTGTTCCTCAACCAGTCTCAGGCTGCTAAAAGCACACCCGCTTCACCTCCCATCCTGAATTATTGCTGTGCACAGATAGAAAACATCAGGGCCACACCACGGCCACCGAGAGAACGCTCTTTGTCCGGAGGCGGTGTATCAGCTCCCAAAACGCTCGAGGTGAAAGGTGCTCCAGAAAAGGCAAGAGAGTTCTTCAGGAAAAGAAACAAAACTAAACTGCTGAGTACAAATTAACAAACACACTGCCTCGAGCTCTCCAGGAAACACAAGACACGAAGAGATTCAACTCAAAAATGGTTGAATAGAGAACTTCATTTCTGTCCTTTCACACATTCACAATAGAAGGACTGTCGGAGCCAGGGCAGGGATTTTCTGATGTAATGTTTCAGCAGACAAATCAATTAATTGAGAAAGAAGCTGCTGGTGAGAAAGGACTTTGGGGGACAAATTTTCCAATTTGAAATCAGGCTCTGAGATTATTAAAAACAAAACGAGAGAAACTTCACAAACCTGACAACTTAACCAAACTTCAGTCATTTGTACTAAAACGGCCAGATGTCAAAGGGTCATAACCTAACCTGTCCAAGGCATCAGCAATCTTTTGGAACACCGGGCCAAGTAACACGAGATTAATATTTTATGTTGTTTATCTAGTTTTTTTAGTTTCTGCCCCGTCTCTGAGAGAACACTTCCTGCCAAAATCTGCTTTTACTCCCCTTCCATTAAAGAGGCGAGATCCATTTGAGTGTGCCTTACCCGGTACCTCAGTTACTTATTTCAGGCTCACCTTCTGCCTGCCCGGTCTTGGCCAAAAGCGACCCCAGCTCCAGGATGCTCTGCTCTTTGACTTGCACCGCTTCCTCATCATTTTCCTGGACATCTCGCTTCACTAGAGAAAAAAAAAAAAAAAAAGTGGAAAAGTTACCTTTAATGCTATTTCAGTTCGAAGATAATCGTTACTAGTCAGCTCCTGGAAAGGCACCAAAATAAAGTAACTGTTGTAACAGGCAGCAGTGAATTCAGGCCTGTGAGATCTGGAAAACAGATTATGTGGGAAGTTTAAACGCAGAGCGTATAGAGCGCGCTTCATCTGTACCTCACCAAGGCTTTCATCCAGCTGACAGATACGACCGCACGCCCCGACTTGAATACAACTGAAGTTCTGAAGCAGTCTCATTAAGCTTGTCCAGCTGTTCCAAGTTTTATTTTTTAAAAAAAACACCACCACACAAGAGACCCCTCTCCCACTGAAGGCACAAAACCAACTAAAAGAAACTTAATGGGATTTCCGGGGTTGGGATTTCTGATGTTGCCGCTTTGTGCGTTACGCTACGATCCTGCGGGCAGAACGCAGCACCAGGACAGGATGGGCTGGGAGAGCAGGGAGCGTTTCGCTCGGGAGGGGATGAGGTGTTGGAGCTGCTGCAGGAGTCAGCGCTCCTTCCACACCAAACTCTGACCATCTAATTCTCACTCTGCACCAACGTGAGTAACTCCAGCTCTGAAGGAGGTAGAAAGGCCAAATGACATCAGGCAGAACCAGACCTGTGTTTACACAACAGCAATTTCATATAAGTTACGCACAAATTAACACACTTTCTTCCCCGCCACCTGCCACCCTGTAAATATCCATCTCCGCCATCCCCTGGGAGGGTGAGTTCCTCCCAACTTCTACCCAAACAAAGCCAAAATCCACTGCCCAGCTCTACGGAGGGAACCAAACTCCTCCACGCTGCCCCTGAGCACAGACTGTGGCTTTCAGTCCCCACCGTTTAACACACACAGTGTCAAAAACCAAGTAACTTTGCTCTCCAGAAGAGAAATTCCACAGCAACGCTCCCTGCACCGCTCCAACTTCCACCGACCGGCAACACGAGCTGCTGCTCCCAACCGAGCCTGACCCAAGAGCAGGCTGTAGGTGTGTTGACAGGCTTGAGAACACCAACTACTAATTAACCAGAGCAACACCGAGAGGGGCAAGCAACTTTCAAAGACCAAACAGCAGTTCCAATGCAGAGGTGTAACGCGGACAATAGGAAACATTTTACTTCCCCGACACAGCGGGGTGACAGCAGGTCACAGCATCTTTTCCGAAACCACCATGCAGGATAAGAACCGAAAATTATCCTTTTATACACCTAAGATACTCCCTCTCCCTACCCTGTGCCCCCAGATGAAGGGAGATGTCCACACTATGCCTACAAACCGCTTTATAACCCCAACATCTCCTTGGCACTGCCCGGGATGGGAAACAGGCAGACGAGGTCTATCCTGGAACAAGCAGAAGTTAAAACTCCAGCCACAGCACCCGGGGAAAACTCCTCCAAACTTTCCACGTAGCCCCGAGAAGGTAAATTTTAAACAGCAGGTGTATTTTAGCCTTGTTAAGAGGAAAACCTCACTTCCAGCAGAGCTTCCTCACGCCGCTCCCGCCAACCGGCCCAACATCCAGCTAAACCCCAAACAACCGGTACCGGGAAACTCCTGCCCGCCCCACCGCAGCCCCCGGCTCCCTCAGGTCCTTTCACGGTGCTAAATTCGCCAGGCCTCTACCGGCACCGAGGGGAACGGGGAGGAGCAACCGGCCCCGGAGCCGGGGTTTCACCAAGCCGGCGGGGCCCTCACCGGCCCGGTTCTCTCCACCGACG